GAAGATGGTTAAAATTGATGGGAAGATGGATGGAGCCAAATACAGGACCATTCTGGAAGAAAACCTGATGGAGTCTGCAAAAGACCTGAGACTGGGACGGAGATTTGTCTTCCAACAAGACAATGATCCAAAACATAAAGCAAAATCTACACTGGAATGGTTCACAAATAAACATATCCAGGTTTAGAATGGCCAAGTCAAAGTCCAGACCTGAATCCAATCGCGAATCTCTGGAAAGAACTGAAAACTGCTGTTCACAAACGCTCTCCATCCAACCTCACTGAGCTCGAGCTGTTTTGCAAGGAGGAATGGGCAAAAATTTCAGTCTCTCGATGTGCAAAACTGATAGAGACGTACCCCAAGCGACTTACAGCTGTAATTGCAGCAAAAGGTGGCGCTACAAAGTATTAACTTAAGGGGGCTGAATAATTTTGCACGCCCAATTTTTCAGTTTTTTATTTGTTAAAAAGGTTTGAAATATCCAATAAATTTTGTTCCACTTCATAATTGTGTCCCACTTGTTGTTGATTCTTCACAAAAAATTACAGTTTTACATCTTTATGTTTGAAGCCTGAAATGTGGCAAAAGGTCGAAAAGTTCAAGGGGGCCGAATACTTTCGCAAGGCACTGTATGTAGTCATTGAGAGACATGGAGTGACTGGGTGCTAAGTAATAGAGAAATGGTTTAATTCCCATGAAGTTCTGCTTTCAGTTTCAGCATGACCTCAATGAAGAAGATTCACACATCACTGCAAAACAAATCAAAATTCAAAAACAGATAACCTGATCCTACATTAATACAAAATCCCAATATTCCAGTGTTTGGACACTATAACCACTTTTGGTTATTTTTATATTGTTCTTATTTTGACTGCATTAGAGAATCACTCCGCATATGTGTGAGTAAATGGTGCTCAGTTGTTGGCAAAGAAGTTTATGGTATCAGCAAACAAAAGAAATGTGAGTTTAGGTATACATATAGTATAGTGCACAAGTAAGAATGGTGCAAAAACATTAAACAGCTTCATGGATCCACCTTTAAACCTGCGTCTATTGTTTTTTTATACCAAAGCATCTGAGCTATAATACCACAAGATGTGTCAAAACAATCAAATGCTAATTTTTTAGTTGTGTTTAGATGAGGAATTTTTAAACTGTATAATCTTTGCTCAGAACCAATTGAAAATATTGTATGGTTGCAAAGTATAAGCGGGTATAGATCATGGGTGGATGGATGATTGCGGTCATACATATAACTCATACCATAACACTTACATTTAAAATTTACTTTGAAACAGTTTGTGATACACAACATACCCTTTTGAAACTATAGCTGTAACACTGAAGACTTTTATTCCATCTAAGAATACCATAATTTGACCTGAGACTAAATAAAATCAGCCGTCTTGTGGACAAACAGGTTTGATCCAGTTTTAGTCCAGCTAGAGCTTGGGTATTTCTTCTAGGACTAATTAGAGGCTTACTGGTAATACTTATTGACTATCATGAAGACATGAAATGCGTGTGTTTTTTATGCTATGCTTTTACCAATTAATAATATCCACTTCCAGCTGCCAAGAGTAGTTTTTTTCTTCCCCCATTAGGGAAAACCACTGTGAATTGAATGTGAACCAAAAAGCCTTCAAATAATTCAGCTCCTGACTTTTCCACTTCATGTGTCAACTGTCATGAAAACTGAGAGAAAAGAATAACACACATAACTAGGAGCACTGTGCAGAGGGGGAAATATGTATATATATATATATATATATATATATATATAACACCTCCTTACCTGACATTAATCTTCAGTGACTCTTTGTGCTAATAGCTATCAAACTATTGCACTAACATGTTCAGGTGCCAATTAAGTGCGGATGTGGAGAACACGTGGGTAGACTAATAAAAGGTTTCCATGCACGTAAATGACCCACTTTGAGAAACAGAGTGTAGTTTACCATTGATTAAATGGCTATATTGGGAGGACAGAAGGACAGAGTCAGTGGAGTGAAAAAAAAACTGAACCTAACCTACCAGCTGTACCAGATAGATGGTTTCACGTAGTTCAGAAATTATGAATAAAGGATAAATTGTATCATAAAAATAACTTGTGATTAAATGAACTCCTCTTTACAGTGCATCAATTTATGTCACCCGGCTGGCAGTTTTTTATCAAACTAAACCAAAACCACAAGGACCTTAAGCATTGAGAGGATTAACAATGTACACATTGTGGATATTTAAATTTTTGTTTTACTCAATATGTTATATTGGTCTACTTTTCAAACACCTAAATAATAAATAAATAAACGTAAGCATTTCTATAAGTTGTTTCCTGGCAGTGTGGAGAATTATTTGAAATAAGATTTAGACATTCCTGTTGGGGAATAAAATGTACAGAAAGTCTACTCTATTTTTCTGAACTCATTACTACACATAAAACACAATCCCAGGTTTCTGTTTAAGACTGTGGATCAGCTGGTAAACCCAACCCCTCCTTGTGCCTCAGCTGGAAGTAATGATGACTGTGAATTGTTTTTATCTTATTTTACCAATAAGGTGGTGTCAATCACCTCTATTACCCCCGCAGCCTCTTACTCAGAGGTCCCTCCCAGCAACAAGAGAGTTTTAACCAGTTTTACAGTTTTTAAACAGTATCACAAATGATGTCCAACTGCTTATCCTGCGTACAGGGTCATGGAGGGCTGGAGCCAATCCCAGCTGACATCGGGCATACACCCTGGACAGGTCACCAGTCCATCACAGGGCCACACAACCACTCACACTCACACCTAAGGACAATTTAGGGTCACCAATCAATCTTTGGAGGGTGGGAGGAAGCCAGAGCACCCGGAGAGAACCCACGCGGACACGGAACATGCAAACTCCACACAGAAAGGCCGGGCAACCGGGGTTTGAACCCACAAGCTTCATGCTGTGAGGTGACGGTGATAACCACGGCACCAACGCGCTGCCCCCCACTTGATGTAATACCTACAATGTTTTTACTAATAGTAATGGATTCTGTTGGGCCCCATTTGATCTCAGCTCCTATCTACTGGTTGTGTCCCTGATTATTTTAAAACGGCTTGCGTGAACCCACTTTTAAAGAAACCTGGTTTAGATCCCTCCCTCCCACAAAATTTTAGACCAATTTCAAAACTGCCTTTTATTGCAAAGATTTTAGAAAGAATTGTGTCCATTGATCACAACATCATGTTAGACAGGCTGAGGCACTGGGTGGGGATCTCTGGTACTGCCCTAGAATGGTTTTCATCCTACCTGTCAAATAGGAAGTTTTGCTTGTCTGTAAACAACTATGTCTCTTCGATCTGTCCAGTTAAATATGGTGTGCCTCAGGGGTCGGTCTTAGGACCCATTTTGTTTTCCTTGTATCTGCTTCCCCTTGGACATATTATCCATAAACATGGTATTATTTTCATATTTATGCTGATGACACACAAATGTACTTGCCCGTCAGATCCACAGACCCTGGAATGCTGAGTTCACTTAACAACTGCCTTTGTGAAGTTAAAAATGGATGTCAAATAATTTCCTCCAGCTGAACTCAGACAAAACAGAAATCCTGGTCATCGGGTCCCAACAGATGGTAAAACAAATACTGCCATCTACTAGTCCCATACACACCAGCACGTACCTTGAGATCCTCGGGCAGAGGTCTGTTGTCTGTTCCAGAGTCTCGACTGAAACTAAAGGGGACAGAGCGTTTGCAGTCAGGGCCCCGAGGCTCTGGAACAGCCTGCCCGAGGAAATCAGTTCGGCTGAGTCAGTGAACTCTTTTAAGTCCCTTCTTAAAACATACGTTTATAGGAGAGCCTTTCCCAATTTTATTTGCCCTTACCAAAATAAAGTATACTTCAAGTTTATTTTACTAAGTAAACTTAAGTAACGTTCAAGTATATTTCCCAAGTATACTTTACATACTAAGTATACTTAGATCATAGTACTAGTAGCATACTTGTAAGTGTACTAATTTATTACTTCTTGGGACTAAATTGGCCCACTTTTTAGTATATAAAAGTATACTTTTAAGTATACTTAAAGTGTAAGAGTGGTAAACTTTGAGTTCACAACTAGTTTACATCCAAGTTTTATTTTGTACTGCAGTTGTACTACAAGTGAACTTATAGATATACTGCTAGTTTACTAGTTATATACTTCTAGCCTGGATTTGTAGTTTATGAAAGTACAGTTTTAAGTATACTACTCAGTAAACTACTAGTTTAATAGTTTTTATACTATAAGTGTACTTGTAAGTTTTCTTTCAGTGAACTTAACATCATACTTATAGTTTACTATTGATATATTATTTTTGCGCTGTGTACTACTAGGTTACTACTTACATATTAGTATTATACTTGAAATATACCTTTTACTGTACTTTATGTACACTTGATGTTAACTCACTCTACCAGTGGACTACACATATAAATATTCACAAGACAACTCAGGAGTCAAAATAGTCATTTACTTTATAAATCAAAGTTTTCAAACAAATATTGTTTTGGATGTCCAGTTCAAACAAAGGACAACACAGTACGAACACATAGCTAGCTACCCACAAACAGGTTGTACTTCTTTAGTTTCTGCATTTAAAATATACTACTAAGTTTCCCATTAGCTTATAGTATTTATACTTGAAATAAACCATTAACTGTACTTTGGGCATGCAGACTTGATGTTAACTTGCATGTACACAACCAGCGAACTATACATGAACACAAGGTAAAACTCGGGAATGAAAATAGTTTTTTTCTCTACAAATCAAAGTTTTAAACAAATATTGTTTTGGATGTCCAGTTCAACAAACAGTATAAACACATATGTAGGGTCACTAGCTCCTAGGTTGTACTCCTCTAGTTTCTGCCCTGTTAAATGGCAGAGGAACCACAAAACTAAATGTTCTTTTCATACGGTCTTCTTTGCAGTAGCTTGGTTGGTGTAGCTTTCGTTGTTGCATTTTTTTCTTATGATGCGTCTCACATCATGGATGCTGATGTTAGGAAATTTCGACAGAGCATGGCCTGTGAGTTAAAACACAAATACAAATCAAAACATTACTTTATAACTGATTTCTCTATCACCAAATTTACCATCCAGAATTAACACAATAAACAGTCAAAGGAGCATGTAGGGATATGCAATTCAACTTGAGTTTTTTGTTGTTTTTTTTCAGATAAGTTTCTGAATATTAATGCAATCTGCAAAATACTATATTGACATGTAACTGAAAATGTCCTTTAAACGCCTACCTTTACATAGATTAGGGTAAGCGTTTTTAGGGCATCATCAAAGTGGGCTTTTTGTGTGCATTGTTTGCAAAATAACAGACTGATCACTTAGATTGTAACTGGTCTAACATTGTTTTTACACAACAAAGTTATGAAAATACAATCATACACATTCCCCGGGAAATCCATGTATTCATCAACACTGCAGTTTGCATATTAACCAAGTTATTATTCCCTGACAAGACAGGAAATCTGGGAGGTGTTTTATTTCCCAATAAAAACATGAATTAGAGTGCAAATGCTACTGTGCCACGCAAGGTAGAACCTTGCCACACGGCTGTGTAGTGTCTGCATTGACATTAACCTTTCCAGTGGGAAAAGTGGGAATACCTCCTTGGTTTATGTGATTTTCCAGGCAATGTGTATAGTCACTGCCAAGTCGTTATAGATGTACCGACAAATTTATAATCAACATATTTACACATGGACTGTGACATATCTATGTATGAGATTTAGTTACCATATCATCAGACACCACTTCAGGAGAAACGCATGCAGAAGCTGGTGAGTCTACAGATGCTGTTGGTGTTGACCAGTTGGATGCAGAAGTTGAGGTCTGGTGTGTGACTTTTTCAATTACTTCTTTCAACTTTGTTACTACTACCGGAAGCTCTGTTAAAAGAATGAAGATATAAATGATTATAAGACCAAGGTGCAAAAGCTTAGATTGTCTGCAGGTTTCAGCAAGATTAATATAAGACATTTTAAGAGTTTTTATGCCATCTGATTATATTTAATAAAAAAAAAATAGGAACAATTTTTGACAATTTTGTGCTTTTTTCGAAGGCTTTCATTAGTATTTAATGAACCAAGGAAACCTTCCAATTTATATGACTTGGTGGATAAAGGGGGAATGTTGTCAGCGTTCACCCATTAGGCAACATGAAGGTGTTGGTCCAAATTGACTGGCAATCTTTAATGTCAATGTCTTTAAGTTAAGTGTACGAAACTGCCATTTTCAGGCTTTGACTTTCAGTGATGCAAAGATTTTTTTATTTTTCTATCTGGCCGGTATTCTTTGGTTGCTTTGAAATCAACAAACACGTACCCATTTAAATCCATTACATTAGGATGATGGTTGCCAAGTAATCAGGAGGAAATAGAAAGAAATATATTTTATTATTTCATTGCGGGTATATTGTTCCTTTAAAAATTTCATGTTGCTTTATTTTCTCTGCATTTTTTTCTTGTCTAAGGGCAAATTATTTGTTTCTTTAAAATCATAAAATTACCTCTCATGGCATCTAGTATGTCTTCAACATTGCCTTCTTTCAGCCTCTTGTTCTCTCTTTTAAGTTCCTTTATTTGCAGCTGTGCCTTACTCCAGTTCCTGGGCAGTAGGTCCTCATCTGATGACTCCTTTTCAGAAGTTGACTACACCAACACACAAAGACAAAAAAACTCTACAGTGTCAGACACAAGATTAAATAGTCTCCAGCCTCTTTACCAGCAAAGTCACATACAAGCTAGTACTTCAATGAATCACTTAAATAATTTACCTCTAAAGATGCTCGCTTAGCCACCAGCTCCTTCTTCAGGTCTTCAATCATTTGGTCTGCTGTCTCTTTTGAGGTACAGGTTGCCCTTTTGCTCTTTTGCTGTCAAAATGACAATTGAAAGTTTTTAATTCATAGTTTTCAGTCACGTGACATTTGCGGTACCTGGAGGGCAAAACAACAGACCAACACAACGGCTCACGCCGCAACTCCCCCTTAGAGACTCCGCAAAAGCAGTTACATTTATTTGGATCATCTCTTAACTCAACTCAAAAAGAAAGCTACGAACACAAACGCAAGTATTGGGCACTTCCAATCCATGTTCCAGCATCCGCTGCCATATTTCTATCGTTAAAAAGCGCCAGGTCCCTGCTGCCGCTCGACTGCGGTAATGTTTTCGTTTACATTGTGGGGAATCCCTCACCTAACACAGCTCGGGCTTGTGTTTTCCTCGATTTGTGCATCAGAAAGTACAACAACCATCCAACATTTTGGCAACGCAAAAGTGAAAAACTCATACTAACAGTGCATCACTTGCTTCCTGGTTGGCAGGCAGTGACAAATAACGTCAGTTTTGCTCTCCAAGGGAGCGTTTTTCATGGAATGTGACATCACTTGAAAACTATGAATAGCATGTATGTGCAATAACAGTGATTCTAAAAACAAACAAAGAGAGATTTGAGGCTAATATTGGCTAATTATTGTTTAAATTCTGAGGGTTTAAAGGTTGTGATGATGTACCCCCCCACCAATAAATATCAGTTAAACAAGAATCACAAATGTTTATTTATCAGAAATGGTGAAATACTTCTAGTATTAAATCAAACATTACCACATTTACAAACTTTCATAACTATCATAAAGCATCTACCATAAAGAAATCATAAAAGTGAAAAAAACAAATGGCATTACTTGTAATTAGTGACATAAAAATGGCAAACTAAGATGCTAAACCTTGATTACATTTAAATATGCCTTTGCTTTTCAGTTTAAGTTTTCTTCACATCAATATTGAGTAAGGAAACTAACTTAACTTACCTGTTTTGTTGGCCATTCGTCCTCCTCTTCCACATCCTCCATCCACCTACTGTTTGGCTTTGTCTTCCTCTTGAGTGTTTGGTTCCAGATGTCTTCACCCTTTATGAATTCCTCCCTCTTCTTGCAAAGGTCACTGTAGTTGTCTATGAAAAGAGTTTGTGTAAATTACACTGAGCAAATTAAAATCCCGACTGGGTCTTTGGGCTACGTCTTTAAGCTCTCCCTAACAGACAGCTTGTTGGCAATATTAAATTAACATTGTCCACAATTTTAAATTATTAGTATCCAAAAACACAAAACAAACCCAGTTATGCTAATCCTTGAAGTTAACCATTAACATTAAGCTAGGTGACAGATTAAGTGCTAGCAAATTTACCCCCGAGCATTAACACCTTAGCAGGAAAAAAGGCCGGACCATCTTTCTTTTTTCTGCCTTTGTTCCACTTAACATTTATCCATCCATCTTCATCCTCCAGTTTGGGGCACTCTGTGACCATTTTTTAAGATTTTTGCTGGTCTTCAACACTCATCCAATCAATTTTTCCAACTTCCACGGTTTTGTCCTTGAAATAATATATCGCAAATGCCATTGTGGAGGATAATTAATATTATCACTGACAATTATGTTTGTTTTTGGCAACCGCGACCGTTAGTTAACATCAAAGATGCTGTACCGTCGGGTGAGATGCGCGCGAACCACAGCTCTTTGACGCAAACGACGCAAACGGTGCAAACGGATCGCACGGCCTGCTATCGCGAGAGGTGCGCGACTGCATCGAAAAGCATGTTGGGATTAAGCGGGAGATTTAGCTTGCTTCTGTAGTTGGCTAACGTTACCTCATTTTTATATGGCTACCTCTCGGTCCAGTTTGACGTTAACAGCAGATGTTTTTAGCCGTGCACAACAAGCGAATTAATGGCAAAACGTCTAGGACCTTACAAAAGATACTTGCGCGGCACAGACGCAGTACCAAGGAGAACTAAGTTCAGATGGAATGCAAAGGTAAGTTACTTTGGACCACTTTTATTTCTGTTCAAAGTCAGATTACACAGGACAGTTGTAATTTACTGCTGGTCTTGCGCTAATCTATCAAGATGAGGCTTCATTTTAAATGTATGGATAATGAAGTGTCTACAAACAGTAACGTTACAAATAGCTATATGACTAAAACGTCTCTTTGTCTCTCAAATGCAGAGAAGCCAAGAAGATGGCAGTTCAAGTTCAAATAGTGAGGATGGTGATGACAGTTACATTTTTTTAATATTATAATGATATGAAAGAAGGGAAAGCAAATAATTCTTAGTATTTGTGTAGCTATAACCAGCTAATGTTTGGTATTTTTACTTTGTAAATGACTAAAACTATTAATTTATTATCTAAGTTAGAATTAAATTTCCTGCTAATCAAAATTGGATTTTTTTCAGACCTAGCTACCTCATTAAATAAATATAGACATATTTATAAGCATTCCACTTTTGTCCTCAAGTTGTCAAATAGATGTTTACCATTATTCTCATATCACAGTTTCCTGCACATAAACAGTAATATCTAATATCTATTAATTGTGGTACAAGACAAGCCTGTCATTTCTTGAAATGTTCCTTGGCATTTTACCCTTCATGTTTTTTCCTTTGTTAACCTTTAGAACAACAATAAAGGAGATGGAGTAAACACAGAAGATGACATGAGGAATGCATCCAACAGTGAAGATGAAGAGGATGAAGTAGACAATGAAGACTTTTCCACAACTGGGCTGTTGGGTACTGATATTCAAGAGGTAAATACATAATTACACAGTTTTAGCCCCACTGGTTATTATGTGTTCTTTCCAACCTATTGCTCCAAGGCGACAATGCTGGGCCGACTGCAAATTGGTGAGCACATTCATGCTTCTCAGAGGATGTACCCTGTCAACTATGTTGACATTATTACTTTTTGTCCAGTGCCACCCTAACTCCATTCTCCCACTCCTGGCATTCTCCTAATATGCACCAAGCCAGTGGCAGCAGAGGACCTGCACAAATTCAATGAGATTATTTTATTCATCAAATAATTTTTTTCTCTTTCCCTTGTTAACTTTCAGAACAGTGAGGATGACCAAATAAACACAGAAGATGACTTGAATTTTGCTTCCAACAGTGAAAACAAAGATTATGAAGTGGACAATGAAAACTCCTCCACAAGTAGCCTGTTGGATACTGACATTGAAGAGGTAAATACACAAATGTGCATTGCACAGTTTTTATCTTAACTAAATAAATGCCTACCCTTTAAATTAAGTCTTTCAAGTCATCTTTTTATGTTGTTAACCTGCAGAACGAGCATGACCTATCAGATTCCAAAGCAAACATGCTTGATGCTGCAAGGAGTGAAGATGAAAACGATGTGGACAGTGAAGATTTGATTAAGGGCAACACTAGTGGAGAAAACACATCTGAATTTTCTGAGGTATGTAGTAAGTGGTTCAATGACATGGTGTTAGTAGTTAGTGTAATAGCTTATGTAAAAAAAGTCCGGTTCATGAAATGAGTGCATTAATAGTCAATGTCAATAGCTATGGGCTAGCTATTTCCCATGGATAGATAGAAAGCTATTTGCTGTGTCTAAATCACCTGGGGAAATTGCAGTGCGTTGCCTAGAAATCATGTTTTAGGATTTTGTTACATTATTTGACACCTTATTTTATAGTTGTGTGAGGTAGAGTTGAGGAACCAGGAAGTAGTGCAAGGCTCTCTATTCTATTTTAAATATAACACTGTGTGTAAATGTGGAATTCAGTAGGGCTGGTTCCAAATACTTGACCGTTCGACATTCGATTTTCAATTTTGAGATTTGATTGTTGAGTTTTTTTCCACGCGCCTGATCTCCACTGACAGCAGTGAATGTAACACTCCAGTTCACATCAAAGGGAAAACAATGAAGCCCTAAGCTTTGTGGGAGCACTTTAAACTGAGTGATGACAGCAGTTGTATGGAAGAGAACTAGTAAGGATATTTCGCCACCATTAGGACTGTTGTCACATCATGTATGGGTAATTAGGCTCTACAAAAGTATAGGTACACACACAGATAGCTAAGAGGGCTGGTCAATAAAACTATAGTTATCGCAATGTACTTTTTTCAATAACAATATAACAAATGTTCATTTTGTTTACTTAAATCATAAACGAATTAGGACTTATTTTTTTATTAAGATGTTTATTTTGTTAAAGAAAAAGGACTGAGCTTTGAACTTTGGTTGTTTGTCTATGTGTGGCCCTGCGATGGACTGGCGACCTGTCCAGGGTGTACCCCGCCTTTCGCCCAATGTCAGCGGGGATTGGCTTCCCCCTGTGACCCTGTACGCAGGATAAGTGGTTGATGATGGATGGATGGATGGTTCTACCTCAGAATTGTGAATTGATCCACTGTCTGGCCTCGTGTTGACCATAAAGAAGAGTTTAAACCACAATTAACCATTAGGTTTCTTCAACTTTCACTCAGGAGCACAAATCAAAAGAAACAACGATTTGATACTTACCGTGATAATTAGCGATATTGAAAGATATGCAACTTTTTATATGTAACATTTTTGTCCATATCGTCCAGCCCTAGTAGCTACTCTTTCTTTTGGGATTGCAGCTTGATAGGATATGTTGAAAGTATTATCAGTTTTGTTATAATCCATGGCAAGCATTTCAAGAAAATTACATTTGCTAAAATTAAACACAGTGTGCTAGACTGATAGTCCTGATTCGTTCTCTCTCTCTCTCTTTCTCTAGGTCAGTGAAGACACAGCAGATACTGGTGACAAGCCCTTGTATCCTGGTGCACCTCTTTCAAAAGGAGAAAGTGTATTGATGCTGATGTCCTATCTGTTACGGCACAATTTAACCGGCGAGGCACTTACTCACTTACTGGAAATGTTTAACATAATGTTTCCAGGTCTGATCCCATCTTCACATTACATTTTCCAGAAAGAATTTGGAAGTTCATCTAAATTTGAAGTTCACTTTTATTGTGAAAGCTGTTTTAAATACTTTGGCATTAGCACAGACTGTCCCTCCCAATGTCACTCTTGCAACACAGTATTTGATGCCAATGCAAACCTAAAGAATGGCTTTTATTTTCTTGTGTTGCCCCTGTATGCACAGATTAAGCAACTTCTGCAAGAGCATGGTGTCCGTCTTAATGAAAAAACTAGAACATTTGGGGTCCTCTCTGACATACAGTCTGGTGAAGAGTATCAAAATTTATGTGACAGTGGCATTCTTGGAAAAGATGACTTGACGCTTATTTGGAATTGTGATGGCGCACCAGTGTTTAAAAGTTCTAAATGCAGCATTTGGCCAATTCAGTGTCAGGTAATTGAACTGGAACCAGAAGTGAGGAAAAAACATATTCTGATGTCAGCATTATGGTTTGGCCCAAGTAAACCATCCATGTTAACATTACTAACACCATTTGTTAAAGAGGCCTCATTATTAGAGACTGAAGGGATTGAATGGCAAGACGTACAGGGAAACAATCATGGATCCAAAGTGTTTGTGCTGCTTTGTAGCTCTGATTCGATGGCTCGTCCATTGCTTCGAAACACAAAGCAGTTTAATGGCTTTTACGGCTGTGACTTTTGCTATCACAAAGGTGGTAAATCCTATCCGTATGATCGACCTGAACCCCCACTTCGAAACGAGAGAGATCATTTCAGTCATGCAATGTCAGCTACAGTGAATGAGCCAGTGTTTGGAGTCAAAGGGCCATCTCCTTTAATGAAGCTTAGTCACTTCCAAATGATCAATGGTTTCATTCCTGAATATCAACACAATGTGTGCCTTGGAGTCACTCGGCAACTGACTACGTTGTGGTTTGATACAACAAACAGTGAAACCCCCTGGTACATTGGCAAACAAAGTGAAGAGGTTGATTTGCGACTTGTAAAAATAAAACCTCCTGTTGAGATAACTAGGACACCAAGGTCAGTGAGTGAAAGGAAGTTCTGGAAAGCGTCCGAGTGGCGAGCATTTCTACTCTTTTATGCTCTGCCTGTACTGAAAGGCATACTCCCTAGCAGATTTTGGAATCATTTGTTCCTATTGGTGTTTGGCATATATACATTACTACAGGATAAGATCAAGACTAGAAGCATCCTAATGTCAGAACTGGCTCTTAAAAAATTTGTCATTGAATTTCAAAGACTATACGGGAAAGACCACATGACTTTCAACATACACTTGCTCACACACATCACACAAAGTGTGAAACACTGGGGTCCATTATGGGCAACATCAACCTTTGCTTTTGAATCCAATATGGGGACTCTATTGAAGTATTTTCATGGAACACAGTATGTTCATTCACAAATAGCTAGAAAATTTCTGTTGTGGAGAGAATTACCAGAAAAGGCAAAGCATACTATCAAAAGTGCAAAGGTTCAATCATTTGTTGAAAAACTTTATTTTAATAAGAGAAGAACAGAAAAATGTGAAGTACTAAATGAAAGTGTCATGGGTTTTGGGCA